TATTTTAGATGCTAGACAAATGTAAGAGGAAAAGATTTAAAAAGTTAACATATATACAAGTAAGTATATGCATATCAAAATGAGAAATACTATCCATAACTATTATAGTTCTCATTTCTGCCATTGGTCATGTGATCATAATTGTTATTTATAATTACATTGTTTTCCCACTTTTTGCTTCAGCAAGCACCTTGTCCAGTTATGATTTTAGTTGAGGTCATGAGCGTCCTCTTGTATTTGATTGTTTTCATTTTCCAGTGACTTTAATCACTGGGTACAGAAGTACTAAGAGGGGCCCCAGAGGATCTCCTACATTCTAGACATACTTCTCTTTACCCCATTACAGCCAAGTTTCTCAGATAATCAGAATCAATCATCTCAGACAGAACACCATTACTCTCTTTGCCTATTGATTCACTAATATGAGGAGCCCAAAGAAGCCAAGTGGTAGTTAAATTTTGATTTAATGGAACTATTGATGTAGGCCTAGGTTTAAATATTTCTCCGTTGGGGAAAATCAAGACAAGCAAGTCGAGAGGTGTTGAGTATAGGCAACAATAATGATGTTAGTGGATCTCAGTGTAATAGTGAGAAGTCACTCCTATTTCACTCCTTGTTTTCTGGATTTGTGAATACTAATTATGAGAGAAAGAGCAGCATATGACAGCTGCTGCTGTAGACCATTTGTCACATCCTAGAGGACAATACCCAAACCCCACAAGGTTTAGTCATCCAGTTGGCATCTCAGAAGGCCATGGCATCATTGTATCAGGACAGTTGCTTCAGAGTGATGGGGGATCATGAGAACAATACATTTCATAAGAACAATACATTTCTCTGCACTTCTGTTCTATAAAACAAATGTCTTGATCAGGAACTATGTTGTATGAAAAGAGGTACTCCTTAAGATCACAGATGGGATTTGGGAGAAGGATTGCAGGCAATAAAAGCAAATCCATATGTACAATAAATGTCTCTTCCTTTGAGAACAAAGCCCTGCTCATCTCCTGATGGAAGGATGTAGGTGGGTGCCCTGGAGAAGCCCTACTGGAGAGTGTTTTTCTGTAGATGTACTTGATAGACACTATCTTGCCACCCATCCCTTCACTGTCCTCACTCCTCATGCATTAAAAATATCTTTTTTATGAACTCTGTGCTTATCTGCTACAGGCATTGATGCTTTGTAAAATCCTGATCCTTTTTGTTTATGACATCTCAGTGGAGGCTTTAGAAATGATTATGACTCATATTAGAGCAGATAGCAGACAGCATGAGAGGGAGAAAGCTGTAAAAATTATATTTTCATGTAAGTTTCTTCAGCGGCATAAATTTATCTTTATTATTTGCTTAAAAAATAAATCAATATCTGCCCATTCTGGGTTTAATTTGAGTGCTTTGAATCTGACACTGGATTCTTTTAGATGCGCCAAATTCTATCTTCTCCCTAGTATGGTCTAAATTGTGTCCCCCAAATGTCATGTTGAAGTCCTGACTCCCAGTTCCTCAGAATGTAACTTTATTTAGACATGTGGTCTTTAAAGAGGTGATTAAGTCAAAATGAGGTCTTTAGGCTGTACTCTAGTCCAATATGACTGGTGTCCTTATAAGAGAAGGAAATTTAGAGACAAAATGATATGAGATGAACACATGCAGAAGGACAACAATGTGAAGACACAGTGAGGAGACAGTCATCTGTAGGCCAAGAAGAGAGGCCTCAGGAGAAATCAAACCTGCCAATACCTTGATCTTGGACTTGTAGAGTCCAGAAATGTGAGGAAATACATTTCTGTTCTTTATGCTACTCAGTCCATGGCATCTTGTTATGGAAGCCCTAGGAAACAAATACACTACCCAACTGGTAATGAACGTTTTATGTGCATGTTTTCCCCCTTGCAAGGTCATAAACTACTGGAAATAGTTACCGTGTCTTTTCACTTTGCATCATCATTACAGCAACATGTGGGACACAGTAGTTCCTCGATAAATATTTGTCACATTAATAATAGAAGGAAAAGAATTCTTAGATTTTGAAGCAACAATTATTTTAAGTGATAAGTATCTATTTTAAACTTGGAACAACATAACCATGAAAATTTGGAAGTTATTGTATTTTTGGAGCATGCCTCTTTCATTTAAAAAGATTGACAAAGGGACACCTACATGGCTTAGTTGGTCAAGCGTCCAGCTCTTGATCTCAGCTCAGGTCATGATCTCACAGTTCATGGGATCAAGCCCAGCATCAAGCTCTGTGCTGATAGCGTGGAGCCTGCTTGGGATTCTCTCTCTCCCTCTCTCTATGTCCCTCCCACCCCTCCCCCCCCCCACAAAACAAATAAATAAAATTTTTAAAAATTTGCAAAATGTTATATGAAAATAATAATATAAATCCATGAAGGCTTTACAAGCGACATTTGGGAGAAGTAAAGAGAATCAAACAAATGGTGCTTCTTTAGATGTGTTTGTAAAGAAGTCACAAAGCAGTTACATGTCTTTCTCTTTTCACTCTGCATTCAATCCTTCACTCGTTCAGCAAACAATTATTAAGGGACTGCTTACCTGTGTGTTGGTTACTAGGACTGGAGAGATAAAGGGATGGCCATTCTTTCAAGAAATAAATTATTTTATTTTGCTGAGTAATGATTTGGTGAGTTTACATACATTAACAAAAAAAGTCTATTGAAACTATTTCAAGGCAAAGCCCTATATCCAGTAAAGGCATCTTAAATACTCCATACACTGATAATAAAAGAGACCTGAATTCACCTGAAAGTTCTAATGCCCAACTGAATTTACTCACTGCCTTGCCCCCCAAAATAGGATCCAGATGACGGAGAGTGGTGGTTGGTGGTGGAGGATAATTTCTACAGGTTTTCCTCTTGAACTCTGCTGTCCAGCCAGGCAACAGTGTTGTCTAAGAGCAGCATCACATTTTTCGACTGAAAATCACAGCAGACGTCACTTGGTACAGTACAACATGCCATCCGGCCACATTAGCAACACTACAATGAATTTTTAGCAACATATTCTCTTCGAATCTTGTAAATTACATCTTCAAAATGTCTTCCTCATTAATTTGCTCTTCTTTAACAACCATATCACGTTGATTAGCTTTTTTAATTCCACTGTCTTGTAATAAAGTTCATCGTCCATGCCACCATTTGGTTCTCTTGCCAAAAGACAGATCTGATTATCTCATTTCCTGGCTCGAATCTTTCCAGGTCTCATTCTTGTCTACAGGATGCCAAACAAACTTCTCGGCAAAGCAAACCAGACCCTTCATATTCTAGCACCCCAGATTCTGTATTCTTGCTCCAAACTTTCTCTAACACATTGGGTAAGTAGCCACTGACAGAACACAATGTGCTCTCTTGCATCCCTTTGCCAATGCATAACTACGGCCAGAACTGTATGTGCTCTACTTCATCTGCTTATAAATATATGCTCATCCTAACCTCATCTGCAAAACATTTAGTAAACATGAGGTCTTAAGTATTGCACCAGAAATGAAGGATAAAAGATGATTAGAACATGTTTCCTACATTCCACGATAGTACTAGGGAAAATATGCATGTAAATAAATATAACTTTGCAGAAACAGTTTTAACAAATACAATAAAATAATGTATGAGAAGAGGAAGAACGATGGAAAGTTAAAAGGAAGGGACTTTGGAGCTAGAATTTAAAACGATGTCAGAGGGGGCGCCTGGGTGACTCAGCCGGTTAAGCCTCTGACTTCGGCTCAGGTCATGTTCTTGTGGTTTGTGAGTTTGAGCCCCAAGTTGGGCTCTATGCTGACAGCTCGGAGCCTCGAGCCTGCTTCGGATTCTGTTCTCTCCCTCTCTCTCGGTCTTTCTCTGTCTCTCTGCCCCTCCCCCACTCGTGCTCGCTTGCTCACTTGCTCTCAAAAATAAATAAACACTAAAAAAAATAAAACGATGTAAGAGGCACACATGTGAGGACAGGTGGAGGTTGGAAAGGACACAACAGGCAGAGGAAACAGAATACACAAAAGCATTGAGATGAACAGCAGGAAGTGGGCAAATCTGGCTTGATCTTCCCGAAGATAAATGTGCAGAAACAGAGGCGGATAAAAGAGATACAGATTCAGCTTTGTATTGTAAATACATTAATATCTCTTCTTTTTTTCACCCACAGTGTTCTTTAGATATAGTATGTGAGTGAAAAATTAAGTTCTATGTCAAAGCCTTCTCATCTCAAATCAGACACCAAGGCACCTTTATGTTCATATCTGTTATTTATTTAACTGTTATTTACAACATGTATGTATGTTTATAAACATGTGTGTGCTTTTTTTCTAAAGTTCACTTATTTGTTTTGAGATAGAGTGTATGAGCAGGGGAGGGGCAAAGAGAGAGGGAGAGAGAATCTGTCAGCGCAGAGCCCCATGGGGGTTTGAACTCACAAACTGTGAGATCATGACCTGAACTGAAATCGAGAGCCAGACGTTTAACTGGCTGAGTCACTCTGGTGCCCCAAAATGTATGCGCTTTTAATATAGAATTTTTCTCATTACAGACTGTTTCAAAATACTATTCAAACATGAGACCAAACAGCTTGGGAAAATATCTGATAGCTAAATGTTTTGTAAGTATTTTAGCACATCTCTAATTGTTTTTTGCCTGATCGCACTTAGTTGCATGAATTTCAAAAATAAAGAAAGTGGAAATAATGTATAATGGCTGATCTGAATTTCTAATTATAAACCATTTTACTACCAGGAGGGCTGACTTTTAGGGGAATATTATAAAGGCAAACAGGAAGTAGTTCCACTTATTAGAGTTCTTGTGAAGTTTGTCTAAAAGAAATATAATTGATGCTCTTTTGGAAGGACAAAATGAATGTTCTGTACGTAGGAATTGTAATTATGGCTAAACAGTTGACAGGTCATAAAATAATATATTCATTACATAAAGTTGCAATAAAATACTAATTTCAAGTCCAGCAATCTGTCTTTATGTAGAACGTATCTGATTACTCACCAAATGTTCTTGTCAGATGAACAAAGTTTTTTTTTTTTCCAACTCACAAATTACCATCAGTTAAAGGGTTTTCACTGAAACTTCTCAAGATGCAAGTCCAATATGCAGATTTCTTATTACAGCTACTGAGTAGAAACAGAAGTCTCCAGTTCCTTCATTTTTCTCATACTTAAAAGTTGAAAGAGCACCTGAAAAATTATGAAAAACAAGAAGTTGAACTCAAGAGTTACTGGAAAAATTCAACAGTAGTTAGAAACTGAGCTCTGATCCTTTTATGACTATTTGAAACTGATGATAAACTTTCCTTTTATCTTTTTAATCTTTTTTTTTTTTAATTTTTTTTTCAACATTTATTTATTTTTTGGGACAGAGAGAGAGACAGAGCATGAACGGGGGAGGGGCAGAGAGAGAGGGAGACACAGAATCGGAAACAGGCTCCAGGCTCTGAGCCATCAGCCCAGAGCCCGACGCGGGGCTCGAACTCACGGACCGCGAGATCGTGACCTGGCTGAAGTCGGACGTTCAACCGACTGCGCCACCCAGGCGCCCCTTATCTTTTTAATCTTTGAGACATGAACGGACCACAAGCCTCCTCTCCAGATCCATCTGTCTCCAACTCCCCTTGCACTTAACATTTGCCAGCCACAATGACCTTCCTTTCATGCCTTAAGTCTGTCACCATTTCTGAGACTTTCACAACCTCTTTCCTCTGTCCAGGCGCACTGTTTCCCTTCTTCTCCCCTTTTATTAAGTAGCTACAACTCAGCTCATGTGCCTCAACCTCAGTATCCCTTTTTGGCTGGCACCTTCTCTGGATTAGATCCCCTCTTTGCATTACTCACAGCACAAAGTATTACTTGTTCTGTTCCTTGTTCATACATTGACAGCATGGCAGAGAGGTTCAAGAGTGTATGTTCTGAAGTCAGAACACAAGGGTTTAAATTCCAGCCATGCTGTTTATAAATTGTGTAAGGATGGTAGGGGTAAAGTTTAGGGCATAATATACACACACCTACGCTTCTAGAGACAATATATCTAGGATCAAAGCTTTAGTCTTCCATTTACTGGCCTGTGACATCTTGGGTAAGTCATTAACTTCCATGGGCCTTGGTTTCAGCAACTATAAAATATGGTTGTTAATACTGTACCTAACTTACAGTACCTGTCAGATAAATGTCAAGTATCATATAAGATATACGAAATTCTTACATAGGCAAGGATGCAGTTTAATACCTGGCATATATTAAGCAATCAATAGCTTTTTTGATATATTTGTTATATTTGTGATAAAATATATACCCCATTATAAATATATCACCAGTTGTGTGTTTGTTAAATGTTTGCTCCCCAGCTACACAGGAAGAGTCATGAAGATAACAGCGATATCCATTTATTGGGTCGTGTATTCCCAAGACCTAACCCAGCAACTGGTATACAGAACATGTTGAATAAATATAGCTAGTCAATAAATAAATACATCTCTTGGGGCGCCTGGGTGGCGCAGTCGGTTAAGCGTCCGACATCAGCCAGGTCACGATCTCGCGGTCCGTGAGTTCGAGCCCCGCGTCGGGCTCTGGGCTGATGGCTCGGAGCCTGGAGCCTGTTTCCGATTCTGTGTCTCCCTCTCTCTCTGCCCCTCCCCCGTTCATGCTCTGTCTCTGTCTGTCCCAAAAATAAATAAACGTTGAAAAAAAAATTTTTTTAAATAAATACATCTCTCCTTTCAAGTGAAAGTTACGAAATCAACTAACCTGCAGTAACTTGTTGGTGTTCTTGTGAGACTTCAATTAAGTCTCATACATATAGTATATTTCAACATATATTAAAACACCTACCACACTGTCAGAACTACAGTGAGTGTTCAGCAAATGTAATTTGTTTCTCTTCTTCTCAGGTCACTAAGAACACCTGTATCTCTTCAGAGCACCACATTTGTGATCTCTGTCAATAATATGCATCTTCACCGTGTCATTAGGACAACTTCCAGAACATGAAATACTGTTCTTTTATAACTTTAACTAGTTATGGTAGTTTCCTTGGGAAAATGGTTGATGGAGCTCCTTACACTACAATTCCAGAAGTTTTCCTTAAACTGATTTTTACAACTTGCTCTTTCTGTAGCTCTTTGGGCCACCTGGGAAAGTCACACTGAAAAGTAAGACAAGACCAGGTGATCTCTATCACATATTTGCACGTATTCCCTGTGGAAGGGACAGTAAATTCTCAGCAATCATTGGAAGAACATGAATGTCCCCAAATGACATTGTGTAAGCATGCAATCACACACACACACACACACACACACACACACACACACACACACACACACGAGTCCTAACTGAACTAAAATTTATGTAACTCTTCATTTCGCTGACATTTTTCAATAGCTGCTGTTCTAACCAAGACTTTAAAATCGTTTTAAGTCATAAGATGCTGAATGTGGACAGCTGCACTTGTCTCTTCCTATATTTGAAATTCAAGGGCCATAGAGCTTCATTGAGAAAAAGCACTGGGAAAGCTTTTATCTCTAGCATGTTGAGGGACAGGTTAGAAGATGCACTTGCACCATTAGGAAACCACAGGAGGCCCTGAAAGCCTGTCTCATATTTGACCTCTGCTGGTGGAACAATTCCTGGTCGTGAGCCCCTTCCTCCACGGGTATGCTGTCAATTTGTCGAGTTCCTTCAATTTGATGACTTACTCTCTCCTGCAGATTCACTTATCAACGACTGGTCAAACTTGACTTGCTGGTTTATAGATGTTTTCTGAACATTATTTGAGATGGGTCAACAATTCTGCTCCAAATTTAATGACTGGCAGTCACAGGGTTAGATCACTATAAGGATAGTTCATAGACTATCCCTCTGTCACTTAAAATTTACTTCAGTATCAATATGTGGTTGACATTTACTAAGCAATGTTTAATAGGAGCCAGATGCTTTACTGAGTGATTTGTATACATGCTGTTTAACTATAATAACCTTGAGACACTGGTATGGTGAAATGATGTAGAAATTTTTGTGGTGATGGTTATACAACTATGTAAATATACTAAAAACTATTGTACAATTTAATAGCATGAGTTATATGTCTGTGAATTATTAATAAAGCTGTTATAAAATCAGTTTGAGTTATTTTTTTCTTTTCTGCCTCTGCTGGACAGAGAATCCATAAACATTCTAGCACAATGCTATTCTCTCTGGATCTTCATGCTTACTATACCTTTATACCCTTCATTCTCCCACTTAAAACAGATGGACACTTTCACCAATAACTTACTCACATGTTTTTGCTTCTGAGATTGTTTTTACCTATTTTTCTCTCTGAATGAATACTCTTCTTGCACATATCCATATCCCTGAATCCTCTAGTCATGTCACAGAAATTGAGAATCTACTATGTCCTCAGCACCAAGCAAGGCACTGGAGACATTTTTTAATAAAAATACACAAGTAATAGAACATATTTTAAAAAAATCCTTTTCACCCTGTTAGAAGGGAATTTCCCTCTCCTTTGGAATTCTCTAGCACTTTACTGAAGCATCCCATAGCTTGTACTATTCTCTGCCATGCCTAATGATTGTTTGCAACTCTTATGAAACTTCCTAGCTATTCTGTAGACTTCTGGTACAGAGACTCACATCTAATTATACATTTCTCAAGCCACATGATGCTCTAGGTGGAATATTACGACTCCTAGTTAAGATGTGCTTCATAAGCAGCATATACTTCTTTATACTGACTTACTTTCAATTGCTCCATTTACATGTAAAATAATTAAAGATAAAGCTAAGTTCATAACTTTCAACTTTTTGCTTATTTTATACTAGACCAAACTATTTTAGGTTAATTTTTATTACTTTTGCCTTCTTTTGAATAATGAAATGTTTCCCCCTCTATTAATTTCTTTGCCATAAAATCTGTTTCAAATTTTTACTAGTGGCTCTAAATATTATCACAGTATAAATCTTTACTTATTAAATCCAATAAAAATTTTACTTTTTTCTTTGCTAATGCTAAAAAATTAAAACATTTTAACTTTATTTACCTCTCCTTCTATTTCTTATTATTGTTAACATCTATAAAAGGTATACATGCATTTAAAACACACAAGACTGGGCGCCTGGATGGCTCAGTCAGAAGAGCAGGCAACTCTTGATCTTGGGGTTGTGTGTTCGAGCCCCACGCTGGATGTAGGGATTACTTAAAAATAAAATATTAAAAAAATAAAATATATAAGACATTACCATTTGTGAAGAAAAATAAGACTCAGTTCTTCCTCCCGTTTTTTTTTTTATTCTTATACTAAAACCATACTCGGCACTTCTGAAACCAGATGTATGGGTTTTTTTCCCCACACCAAGCAATTCTCTGTGGCACCAACTGGGTATTCTACAATTTAAATTAATTCTGACACTCTCATCCTTGACATAGCATCACTCCAGAGCTCAGGTCCACAAGACAGCCTCCCCCTACTTCATATGCCAATTGTTAAGGCCAGGTATTACCTGTGCTTATGACCAATTACTTATAAATCACAGATCCCAAGGGCCATTTCTTTGGATTCGATTAATTGGCTAGAGTGGCTCACAGAACTCAGGAAAGCAGTTGTCTTATTGTTTGCCAGTTTATTATAAAAGGATATGATAAAGGATACAGATGAGTATCCAGATGAAAGGGACATATGGGGCAAGTATGTGGGAAGAAGCTTAGAGCTTCCATGCAGTCTCCAGGAGCACCACTCTCAACCCTTCACAAGTTCAGCAACCAGGATTCTCTCCAAACTCCATACTTTGGGAATTTTTGTAGAGGCTTTATCGTGGACACATGATCAATCATTAATTCTTTCCAGCCCTTCTCCAGAGAATGGGCTAGGGTTGGGCTAAAAGTCCCAAGCTTCTAATCATGACTTCTGGTGACCCAGTCTCCATCCAGGAGCCCACCAAGACACATGTCATTAGAACCAAAGATGCTGCCACCATCTAGGAAATTTCAAAGGCTTTAGTTCAGTGTCATGAACCAAGGTCAAAGACCTAATATTAGAAAAAACGATGCGCCTAGTGCTCTTATCACTTAGGAAATCGCAAGGGCTTTAAAATCTCTGTGTTAGGAAGAAAGGGCAGAAATCAATTATATATTTTCTATTATTTAAAACTAATTTTTTAACAGTTTTAATATTTGGCCTATGT